ACTCACACAGTACCTGAGTCTCTTCTCAGCTCTTCTCACACCACTCCGTATCCTAAATTTCTCCAGCTCATGGGTTTCCCTCCCCCAGGCTTCTCATTTCTCTATAACCCAACCATTTTGACCATGCATGCCCTTGTGTCTTCTTCTCTTGGTCCCCTCTCTCTTGGTTTCCTTTGTCCACACACTCTTTGTCTTCCTCTCTTGATCCCTGCCACCCCTCTCATAGCTAAGTCCAATCTGCTGAACTCGGTCAGCTTGCTTCTTTCTGTCTCTGTTCCAGACTCTTCCAGATGTCTCTGGCTGTACTCTGCCTTGTATCTACAATAGAAACCTTCCCCTCAACCATGTCCTCACTATATGTATATGGTGCCAAAACTCTTAGTTTATATACTAGGTTCTATGAGGAAGTAGGCTAGCAAGCTATGATAAACAAGCTAGTAAGAGGCTCCCCTCCATGGTCTCTGCATCATCTCCTGCTGCAAACAGACTCTTGCTCTGTTTGATTTCCTGTTCTGGCTTCCTTCATTGATGAACTATAACATGGAAGTGTAAGCTGAATAAATCCTTTCCTTCCCAACTTGCTTTTTGGTCATGGCATTTTGTTCCAACAATAGAAACTCTGAGACACAGGGCATCTATATTACTTCCTCAAAGGCTGAGGAATGTTGTAGAAAGTGGGGTGGAAAGAATATAAGGGCTGAAGGTAGTTTGGGAAGGAGTACAGTGAAACGTCGTCTTCTGGATATGACATGGCTGTTTCATCTGTGAACCCAGAGCAGCACTGGCTCCTTGGACAAGACTGGGCTCATTGACAATTCATCATGGATGGGAGAGGAGGTCACAGATCCCACCCTTTACTGAGAAGCTATAGACACATAAAGGTTGCTGTGGTGATTTGAATGAGAATGATCTACACAGGCTCAATGTTTGAACACTTGGTTCCCAGTTAGTGAAACTGTGGGGCAAGGATTAGGAGGTGTAGCCTTGTTGGAAGCGGTATCTTACTTGGAGTGGACTTTGAAGTTTCAAAAGCCCATGCCATTCCCAGTTAGTCCACCTCCTGTCTCTGCCTGCCTGTCTGTCTGTCCGTCTGTCCATCCATCCCTCTCTCCTTCCCTCCCTCTCTCCTTCCCTCCCTCTCTCCATCCCTCCTCCTTCCCACCTTCCCTCCCTCTCTTCCTCCTTCCCTCACTTGTGGATCAGATGTAAGCTCTTAGCTACTGCTCCAATGCCATGCCTGCTGCCATCTCCCCACCACGAGGGCCATGGACTAACCCTCTGGAGCTGTGAACCCCAAATGACACGATTTCTTTCATAAGTTGCCTTGTTCATGGTGTCTCTTCACAGCGATAGAAAAGCAACTAAGACGGTCATATTCCTCAGTGGTGTAACCATTGGAAAGTTGTCCTTGCTCAAGTAACAACCCTTTGCTCATGCCCATGCAGGAAATCTTAAGTAAATAGAGTGGGTTACATACATATACCAAAATCATGAAAGCAGAAGGCAGTCTCTTGGAAGGAGGAAGGGGAAATGGATGAGAGAATAAATGGGGAATTATGACAAAATATATTATATGTGTATGAAGTTGTGAAGAAATAAACACTTTTTTTTTAAGTCAGAACTTTCATGATCCATCACCTCTCCAATGCCTCACCTCTGAACATGTATGGTATGCATTGGAGAGCATATTTTTTTTTTTTGGTTTTTCAAGACAGGGTTTCTCTGTGGCTTTGGAGGCTGTCTGGAACTAGCTCTTGTAGACCAGGCTGGTCTCAACTCACAGAGATCTGCCTGCCTCTGCTTTCCAAGTGCTGGGATTAAAGGTTAGCGTCACCACTGCCCGGCTTGGAGAGAAAATCTTTAATGTACGACTCTGGGATATTTCTTGTTCAAACTATAACTGTGTGTAAGAAGCATGGATGGATTTGGATTTAAATTTTGTCTCATGCCTAAGATATCCCATTACATCTTTGCACCTTTTCTAAAATATAGAAAGGCTCTGAAACAGTTCTAGTCACAAGTAGTTCAGATGAGGGATCCTCAATCTGTATTTGTTACCACAGAAATGTATATCAGGTTTCACTGGTAGGATGGAGAGCAGACATGTTCTCTGGGAATGCGAAGACAGTTTTATGGGGGAGGTAACATCACAGTTGAGCACTGATGGCAGTGATCACCCTGCAGAACTACAGAAGAAGTGGATACAGGAGCAAGGACTCATGATAGAAGATGGGAGGGGCCTGGAGAGATGGCTCAGTGGCTAAGAGTACTTGTTGCTCTTGTAGAGGATCCTGGTTTTGATTTCCAGCACCCACGTGCAGGCTCACAACCTTCAGTAACTCCAGTTCCAAGTGATTGAATGCCTTCTCCTGACCTCTCCAGGCACCAGGTGTAGGTGGACTTTTCTTTCCTGCCCTGCAGTTCCCAACTAACTGACATGGATGCTTAATATTAATAATAAATGTTCAGCCGATAGCTCAGGCTTGTTACTAGGTACCTCTTATGCCATATTTTTATTTACACTTTGCCACATGGCTTGGTACCTTTTCTCAGTACGGCATGCCCATCTTGCTTCTCTCTGCGTCTGGTCACTACTCACAAGACCCAGCCCTTCTTCTTCCTGGCATTCTCTGTTTGGCTCTCCCCCTAACCTCATCATGTTCGGCTATTGGCCAGTCAACTTCTTTATAAACCAATCACTGCAATATATAGTCACACGGTGTAAAGGAATATTCCACAACCAGGTGTGCATTAAACAAATCTAAGAAAAGAAAGAGGTTGGGACAACTGGAAAACTTCCAGAAGACTGATTACTCCTGGGACCCTTAAGTGTATTTGTTTCCTTCAAATATTGAAAAATTACCAAACATGCATTCTTACTATGTTTTGTTCTGAGTGTGGCCTTCCTGAACCAATGAAGGCATTTTTACAGATGTGACTCCATGAAGACACATGTGAGCAGACATATACTGATTTCCATGCAAGCAGACAATTTCATTTTGTAGCTGCTTTGGGAATCACACTGCTGTTCGTTTTGAAAAATTAGATCTGTAATTCCGACTGAAGTAATCACAGACTGAGGCCATCAGGACTGTATAAGGTAGCCTCCTCTGTTTTATAGCCAGGCATCCTGAAGCTTAGAGAGTGACTTGTTTAGATAGTTAGCACCAGCACATCACCCACTCAGTGGGAGCATTAGACTAAGAGTTTGAGTGCTACATCACAGGCTCAGCTGTGACCCTCCAAGGTTTATGTGCTGAAGTCCTAAGCCCCGGCACCTCGGGATCTGAGCAGACTTGGAGGCATGAGGTGTTAGAGTAGGTTCTAACCCAGCCTGATGGTCATGTAGCCCAACTGATAAGCACGGAAGGAAGGCCGTGTGAAAACCAAGGGAGAACACGGCCTCCATATGCCAAAGGGAGGTCTCAGAAGCCAATCCCACCAACCTGGACTGTGAGGAATCAGTATGAGCTGTGTAAGCCACTCAGCCTGCAGCAGGTTGCTATGGCAGCCTAGCAGAGTGAGACCAGCATCCTAACAGCAAGGCTCATGCTCCTGTAGCTGCTTGGCAGCTTGCACCAGCAAGTATGATGGGCTGTGCAGCAGTTCTCTGAATGTCCGTGGCTGCTGGGGGAAGGACTGAAATAGCCTGCCTGGTGAGTGTGACCTTTGACATGGCAAGGTTCATATCCTCGTGGAATATTCTTGGAATGACTATTAGCCTAGGCTGTCTTCACAATTTACAGCATCACTCAGACGATTTAGAAGGTCAGTCGAGTGATGTTTGTAGTTGACAATAACAATGCTTGCTCATGATTTAATTGGTACCCAGTGCCTGTCCCTGTTACAGGCTTGTTGCCATGTGATAACTCCCAATCCCAATCACAGTTTTTACTGTGGTTAAAGGCGATAGTAACGGACTCACTTTTGTATTCTTTGCTGTTGAGGGAAAAAATCACATTAGACAATGAGAAGAAACACTATCAGCAGCAATCTAAACTAACAGTTCCTCTGCTCCAGCAGCCACACAGGATCATTTCATCCGGTCTCCGAGTCTCCCAGCCAGGCTCTCTGTTGACACACTGCCATCTGCTGGAGCTGGGCCTGTGACTCAGCTTTTGCAATCTGACGCTGCCTGTGTCTTGACATATGTTTCTTCCTCTTCCCTGCTGATTTTCCTGACAGCTGTCCAGATTTAAAGGGTGAGCACCACACAGGCTTGAGCCTCCGTAAAATGCTGTGGAAGACAAAGGTTTTTTCTGCTTCCAATTTAATGATGTCCTCAGCAGGGTGCCCTTCCTTCTGTGGAAGAAATGCTAATTCCACGTGCCCAGTGAACATCTCTTTTCTCACCCCCAGATTTTTTTATTTGTCTAGACTCTCGGGTATTTTTGTTGTTCTTTTTGAGGCAAATTTTCTGTATGCCATCCTGGCAGTCCTGGAACTTGCTATGTGGACCAGGCTGGCCTTGAACTCACAAAAATCCACCTGCCTCTATCTACTGCCACATTCAGTTAGAGCTTTCAGTTTATATATTTAATTCTTATTTTATATATGTTTACATATGTTTAATTCTTATTTTTATTCCTCTATGTAGCCCTGGCTGTTCTCTGTAGATCAGGCTGCCTTCAAACTCAGAGACCCGTCTGTCTCTGCCTCCCAAGTGCTGGGATTAAAGGTGCTCACCGCCGCTGCCTGGCTTCTCATTTGATTCATAAACAACTTTTTTTTTAACTAGGTGGGTCTAGAGGTTTTAATTTCATTAAAGATAAGCATCTTGAGTATCATTTGTGAACAGGCTGGGGACTAAGAACACAAAGACAGAAAGACCAGGAACAACTTAACAAGTTGGACTCAAAAGCCCAGCACCTGAATCTCACCATATTTTCAGGGGCTCTTGGAATGCTTTCATTTATATTAAAAATAAACATTTTAGGTGGAAGAAAATAAGCCTTTATACCAAGACCAATGTTTAATACTTCAAAACATAACTTTCAGCTGAGCACAGTGGTACATGCCTACAATCCCAGCACTCCAGAGCCTGAGGCAGGAGGATCATGAATTCAAGACCAGTATGAGTTACAAAGAAAATTCAGGTGAGCCTAAGGGGACTCTATCTCAAGAAGCCAAAAATGAATGAATGAATGAATTGAATGTTATTATAATTCTTGGCATTGTTTTAAATGTATTTTTATTTTGTAACAGGCCCCCAGACCTTAGCAGGCCCCAAGCCATGATGGAGGTACCACTCACACCTTGGAACCCAGAACATAGGCAGCAATACCAGCAAAAAGGAGATGAAAGACATAATTCATCAAAGTCCTAAATGGAGTGGCCTTGCTTTTTGGCTTCTGTAGTTCTGCTTCTAGCTGTCTTTGCTAACTGAGGTGTGTCAACCCAAGATGTGGTTGAAAGTCCACCCTGAGGAAGGCTCTGGACTGCACTCAGGTCTGGAACAGTGAGTGTAGACACTAGCTGATTAATAAAATCTTTTTATTGATACATCACAACATTTCGTGTGTGTGTGTGTGTGTGTGTGTGTGTGTTTGTGTGTGTGTGTACATGCTCTATGTGTTCAAGTGTCTGCAGAAGCCAGAAAAGGGTACTGGATCAACTAGAATCATCAAATATGGGTGCTGGAAACTGAACTTGAGTCCTTTGGAAGAGAAGCAAGTTCTCTTAACTGTTGAATTACCTCTTTAACAATATTGAATTAGCATTTTCATGGAGAAGTTCATAAGACCAAATTGCCCATGACCTGAAAAAAAGTATAATGCCACCCTGTAAAAGAGATAACTCTTCTTACAGAAATTATTTATTTTTCCTCAATATATGTTTTTATTTAAATTAGAAACATGCATGTTTCATATGTCAATCCCAACTCCCTCTCCCATCCCTCCTCCCTGTCCCTCCACCAGTCCCCCCCAGTCTCCCACTCAATCCCCAATCATTCCCCAGGGAGGGTGAGGCCCTCCTTGGGGGGAATCTCCAGAGTCTGTCATTTCATCCAGGGCAGGACTTAGGCCCTTCCCCATGTGTCCAGGCTGAGAGAGCATCCCTCCATGGGCTCCCAAAGTTCATTCGTTCGCCATGGTGAAACTGGATCTGCTACCCAAGGTCCCAGAGATTTCTGAGGCCTCCTCACTGGCACTACATTCATGGAGCCTGGCTCAGTCTCCTGTTGGCCTCTCAGCCATCAGTCTGGGATACAAGAACTCCCCATTGTCTAGTCAGCTGTCTTTGTGGATTTCACCAGCACGGTCTTGATCCCTTTGCTCATCACTCCTCCATCTCTGTCACTGGGTTCCAGGAGTTCAATTCAGTGTTTAGCTGTGGGTATCTGTTTCTGCTTCCATCAGTCACTGGATGAAGGTTCTAGGATGGCATATAAGGTAGTCATACACCTTATCATCAGGGAGGGTCTAGAGAAATGGCTCAGTGGTTAAAAGCACTGGCTGCTCTTCCAGAGGTCCTGAGTTCAATTCCCAGCAACCACATGGTGGCTCAAAAATTATTTATTTTTATTTCATGAACTTGCCTGCATATATGCTTGTGTGAGTATGTAGGACCACTGGAAAAGCAGTTACAGATGGTTGTGAGCTGCCATATGGGTTTTGGGAATTGAAACCGGGTCCAAAAGAGAGATTCTTTAGAGAAATCAATTATGCATGAGAAACAACATGGGACTATGGATGGGGGTGAGGAAGTTGGGGGATGGCATTTGTTTCTAAATGGGATTGAAATGATGTTTGATTGATCTCATCAGGAAAGCTGAAAGTAATTGCATGAAGGCTAGAAGAGTCTGATGATGTTCTATGAAGACCCCATATCAATGCATTCTTCCAGGGCCAGCATGCAGGGGAGTAATAAAGAGTATTGAGGGAGAGAAGCCATTCTGAGAAGGAAGAAAACACTGTAATATTCTTGGTTATGTAAGAAAGCCTCATTCTCTTGGGGAAAATGACTTATAGGATGTCCATTACTCGTGTTTTTGTTTTGTTTTGTTTTAATTTTCAATCAGGGAAGAGCTTGTAGGTAGGGTTGCCAGCCTGGTTGTGTGAAGTGATACCTAAGGGTTCCATTGTTATTATTTGATGATTTATTTTGTGAGATAGAGTTGTACATGCTGGTCTTAAATTTGCAGTTCTCCTACTTCAGCCTTCTGAGTTCTTGGATTAAAGACTACCACATCTAGCCTTTATTGTGGTTTTAGATTGCTTGTCACTGGTAACTAGTGATATCAAGTGTCTTTTCAGGTCCTCATTTGCCATCTTATTGACTTTTTTTTTTTGGAGAAATGTGTATTCAGCTCCTTTGCCTGAATAGATAAAAATTGCAAATACCCACAAGATTCTAAGGAGAAAATGTGATGATAAATCTTCATGACTTTAGTTTGACAAAATGTTTTTCAGTTTTGATACACACAAAGTCATTCAGATTTAGCCTTGTGTTTTCTGCTAAGAACTTTATGGTCTTAGCTCTACTATTTTCGATTTCAATTTATTTTGAGTTACTTCTTGTTTATGTTGGGAGGTAAGGTTTGAGCTTCATTCATTTGCATGTAGCCATCCAATTGTCTCAGCATCATTGCTTCCTCCAGGATCGTTTTCAAAAATGGCTGTTTTTCTGCCTTGGAATGGCCTTGGTGATCTTGCTGCTCATAGGTTATATGGACTTTCAATTCTTCTATTCTGATCTATATGTTCATCCTTTTCTGTACCACACTTTCTTAATCACTCTTAATTTGCAGTAACCCTTTTCTGTTTGTAGTGTGTGTGTGTGTGTGTGTGTGTGTGCGCGCACGCGTGTGCTTGTGTATACATGCACCTGTATGTAGGTCAGAGGTCCATATTAGTTATCTCTTCTATTCTTTTCTACCTCATGTTTTGTTGACTAAGTCATCTCTCCAGTCCCTTGCTATAAATTTTGAAGTTGGGAATGTGAAGCTTGTTAACTTTTACAGAGAAATCAGTGGGTACTTAAATGGGGGTTACAGTAAACTATAGGTCGATTTGAATAGTGTGGAATCTCAGTGATCAGAATATCTGTGTCTTCATTGGGTTGTTTAATTTATTCACATTTAAGGGCATTATTGACATGGATTTACACTTGTCATTACAAGATTCTCTGTTTTGGACAAAGGATACTCTCAAGTTTTTGATAGTCTGGACATCTTTAACAAAACCAATCTCTTAGTGGCTGCCATCGCTTCCTTCTTGATCTTCAAGACTAGCTAGAGCTGTCAAGGAATAGGCATGCCTGACTGATGAAGAACAGCTATCACCAACTGACCTTCTACTTTCAGAGTCTTTAACCATTTTAAGTTTTGTTTCCAGGTCAGTTGCTCAATGTGGCCTTTTACTGCCAGTGTTAATAGTGGATTTTGGACACTTAAAGGACATGACAATGAAGTACAAGAGAAAAATGATACATTCACCTGTTTTTTTCATTATTATTATTATTATTATTACTATTTTGAGACAAGGTCTCACTAAGTAGCTCATTGTGGAGAATTGCTTTGGCAATTGCTGTTCCTGTGCTTCTTTATAGGACACCAAGAATATTCTTTTCCAGCACTGCCCTTGCCAAGGACCCAAGTTCGATTCTAAGCATCCATATGGGGTAGTATAAGACCACCAGTAACTCCAGCTCCAGAGGGCACCTGAACTCATGTCCATACCACCCCAATATACATAATTAAAAATAAAAAATATTAGAGAAAGCATAATGACTGAAAGCATTTACCTTCCTTCTCCTACCCCCCCTCCACTCCCCTGCCTCAGCAACATCCTTGTTTGGGAATTCTGGACCAATGATGCCACCTCTCCCTCTTTACCTCTCAGTAGTAAGAATCAGGGAGTCCAGCTTCTGTTGCCTAACTCATTCTTGGAAGTCAATGGTTCTACAAGGCTTTCTTCCTTTCTTCTGACCACAGATACCAAGTGATTGCTTCTCTGTTTTTAACAATTTCCTGGTGCATAAATCACTCTACCGGCAGATGTAATAAAATCATGGCTCCTTTAAAGAAATGGTTTGTGAGGTCAGCACTTGGTATTTTCCCAAGAGGGCTCCTCATAGCTGTTGTAGTCTGAGCTCCTGTCCCACACAGCAGCCAGTTTGTGGTTTAGCTTGGACCTTGATCTGTCCCTGTCACTCACAGCTTCTCTTTAGGACCTACTTGCCCAAACTTTGTTGCAAATGAGTGAATTCTTTTGGGGAGATTAGGAATTCCCTCTTTCATGCCCCTTTTTTTTTTCCTCCAGGAGAATCCTCTCAGCCAGTCTTGTGCTTCTGGGTGAGGACTGATGACAGAACTCTGCTGCTCCAGAGTGCTCAGTGGAGGGGTAAGGGCAGCTTCCAAGGGCCCTCCCATTTTGCCTCATCTGGCACAGATCACTACTGCACTGGTCATTGCTAAAGTGACAGGGCTCCAGTCTTTTCCACATGCCAAGCCCAAGATTGGACCTCCCTTTCCTAAGTGGACTGAGCAGTGGAAGGGAGCCATGTCTTTAGTATGTTCCCATAGGAATTGGCTCTAACAAGCAGTCATGGAGGCGGGGTGATCGTTCCAGAGTCAATACCATAAGCCATAGTTCCCAAGCCTTCTTGGCCACCAATGCCAATGACTTCCCTCAAACTAGGAAACAATCAAAGAGGAATATGCAGCGATTGAGCTGGGGGACCCCCAACAACTCAGCTATTGGGAGAACCACTGTGATCAACATGTCCAGAGAGGTCTCTGTGTCTGGCCACGTGGTCTGGCCCCTGTTCTGCCCTCTCTTCTTGGACATCTGCTGCTTGAGCATCATTCCCTATGCCTACTCCATGAAGTTCAGGGCAGGAAGATGGTGGATGGTGTGATTGGAGCCCAGGCTTGTGCCTCCACTGCCAAATGCCTGAACATCGGCTCCCTGATCATCCAAATCCAATGGTCGTTAACTGCATCGTTATTGTCTCTGCCACCTCTGTGACGGTCTTTCAAGCCTTTTCACAAAGAATAACACAGTCTGGATTCTAGTCCTGCCCTGTGCTCCATAGTCCAAGCTGGCCCTCCCCCTAGACTAAAGCCTTGGCCCTACAAATAAGCAAATGTTATCCTCATACATTTGTCCACAGTGGAGTAAAAAAAGTGCACATAGTGGCAAGAAAAAAAAAAGAAGTCATGCAGATGGGATGGTAAACTTTAATCGCTGATCCTCTAGAGAGGAAAATCCTTCTACTGGGGATGGAGGAGGAGGGGATCTTGTACGCTAAGCTGTAGTAGCTGTAGCAGAGTTGGTATGGTGTGACGACAGAGGGCGTGTTGCCAGGGTTATTAGCGCCAGGGCATGGGCCCTGGCAGTGCACAAGCCAGGTTTGTTCTTCCATTCTCAATAGGCCAATTAATGAAACAAATAATGGTGAGAAGCAGACAGAGGAGACTTATTCACTATGGCCACACTAAGAAGACATAAAGGGGCTCAATGACCCCCAAATCCATCTTTAGAGTATTATCACGAGGCTTAGT